GAGGCTGTCAGTCATGTGATATCAGAGAAAAGGGGCCATCCAGCTTTTCCCCGTATTAAAGGTTAGCTCCATTGTGGACAGAGTCAATATGAACGTCATAGTAGCATCAAACTGCTACAGAACAACAAAAGTAAGCAGTCGTGTTTCGTGAGGTCTACCAACGAAATTTTTTATCAGACATTTTCACACAAAGTTAAATTCAACACAGCAAAGTAACCTCTGGGGATTCATCAAAACCCAATTATACTTCTTATATAATCGCAAAATTTATCTGGAGGCATGAAACACGAAAATAAACGATCTTCCATAATTGTGTATCCTTACAATCAGACTTCGAAAAGCCCTTTCAATGATGCCTTTACACCATGAGTCAAGGTCTGCTGTAGTGAACAACAATGGTAGCAACAAAGAAGTCTTTAAAAAAGTGTGGAAAAAAGCCAAACTTAGAATATTCAATCCCACATAGACCTCACTATTTTGGTTCATGCAACTTTCTTCCTTCCTCCTTTCCAAGATTGGAAAGCCTATGGGACAGAAATCTGTACACTCATTTATCCTTTATGGTCCAGATAGGTTGTTTGATAATACCGAGATTATTGAGGAAAAAACTTCTGGCTTGTTCAGGAGAACGCTTTGGGCCGGAGGAAAGAAGGTCGCACTGGACGCAAGAAGCCATAACCTGGTGGCCTACAGAAGTGAAGACGAACACTGCTCTGAAGATGGTACAAAATTGCCTTGATTTTGGTAGGTACGAAGGGTTAGACATGGCGCATATCAAATGGCAGAGGAATTTTTGCCGATCCTTTTCTGAAGAAAGAGAGCACTTGATCGGAAAAGTTCACAACAAAATGAGTGTGGATAATTTTTTTATATTCTTAAGCAAATTCATCAAAAAAGTGAAGATAAACAGAGCTGTATTCATGCTGTGTCACATGAGACGAAAGATTGATAGTCGAATTGTCCACAATTATGTCATTAAATAACCTTCAAAAATACTATATCTTCTCGGCTGGAGTGCATTGCAGTCTCCTCTGAGCACGGGGATTAGAGTTATGCAGCGCTTATTCAGATTACTATTACGCCACATTACCACAAGTATCAATGGGCTAGAGGGCAGACGCGACTATCAAGGCAAGCCAAGCCTCTCGAGTGTCAAATTTTCTACAGTGGGAGTGTAAATAAAGCAAAGTTTTATTTGCCATTTCAATTGACTATATTACCTACATAGAAATAGAGTAGTTACCGATACAAGCAGGCCTACTAATACCACTATGGGAAGAATTCACCTCTTTATTCTTAATCACCTTATTTGACCTAGAGCTGATGTATCATTGTGGGAAAATTCTGCTACCAGTCCTTCGTTACCTTAAACGAAATTGGGTGAATACATATCATATTTCTTATTTAAGAGTTACTGATAGTCTTGAAAAACTATTTTGTCTGAATATATTTCACGGGTTTGTCTGGACGTCGATGCGCAAAAGTACACGTATGTGCATAAATCCCCATTCCTACCCACTTTTACGCACAAAAGCGCACAGGCAGCTGACCACAAGTGCTCATATAAAAATACACAATCCTAAATTAATAATTTTTGCATGCTTATTAATTGACCTACATGAAGCAACTCGCTAGTCTTTAATCC